ACCCTGAGATTTCACCTTACACCCATCAGAATGGCCAAGATGAAAAACTCAAGTGATAGCACATGCTGGAGAGGTTGTGGAGAAAAGGGAACCCTCCTCCATTGGTGGTGGGAATGTAAACTGGTTCAACCACTTTGGAAGTCAATCTGGCGCTTTCTCAGACAACTAGGAGTAGTGCTACCTCAAGACCCAGCTATACCACTCCTAGGTATATACCCAAAATTTGCTCAAGTACACAACAAGGACATTTGTTCAACCATGTTCGTAGCAGCTTTATTTGTAATAGCCAGAACTTGGAAACAACCCAGATGTCCATCAATGGAGGAATGGATACAGAAACTGTGATATTTTTACACAATGGAATACTACTCAGCAATCAAAAAGGAGGAAATCATGAAATTTGCAGGCAAGTGGTGGGATCTAGAAAAGATCATTCTGAGTGAAGTATCCCAGAAGGAGAAAGACAAACTTGGTATATACTCGCTTATATAGACCTACAAGATATGATAAACATAATGAAATCTACACACCTAAAGAAGATAATCAAGAAAGTGGACACAGGCGAAGGTGATTAATCCTCATTTAGAAAGACAAATGGGATGTGCATTGAATGTATGACAGGAGTCTACCACAAAAGGCATCTGAAAGACTCTACCTAGCAGTGTTTCAAAGCAGACACTAAGACTCATAACCAAACCCTCGGCAGAGTACAGGGAATCATATGAAAGAAGGGGAGTTAGTATGATATGGAAAGGATAGGAGCTCTACAAGGACCAAAAATATCCGGGCACAGGGTCTTTTCTGAGACTGACACTCAACCAAGGACCATCTATGGATAAAACCTAGAACTTCTGCTCGGATGTGGCCCGTGGTAGCTCAGTAACCAAGTAGTTTTCCAAAGTAAGGGGAACACGGACTATTTCTAACAGGATCTCAAGGGCAGGCTGTTTGACACCCCCCCCCCAGGGGAGGAGCAGTCTGTTAGGCCACAGAGGAGGACTTTGCAGCCAGCCCTGAAGATACCTGATAAAAAAGGGTCAAATGAAAGGGGAGGAGGTCCTCCCCTATCAGTGGACTTGGAAAGGGGCAGGGAGGAGACCAGGGAGGGAGTGCGGGTTGGGGAGGGAATGAGGGAGCGGGATACAGCTGGGACACAGAGTTAACAAAATGTAACTAAAAAGAAAAATAAAATTAAAAAAAAAAGAAATGCTCAACGTCATTAGCCATTAGGGAAATGCAAATCAAAACAACCCTGTGATTTCACCTTACACCCATCAGAATGGCCAAGATGAAAAACTCAAGAGACAACACATGCTGGAGAGGTTGTGGAGAAAGGGGAACCCTTCTCCACTGCTGGTGGGAATGTAAACTGGTACAACCACTCTGGAAATCAATCTGGCGCTTTCTCAGACAACTAGGAATAGCGCTTCCTCAAGATCCAGCCATGCCACTCCTAGGCATATATCCAAAAGAGGCTCAAGTACACCAAAAGGACATTTGCTCAACCAAGTTTGTAGCAGCTTTATTTGTAATAGCCAGAAGCTGGAAACAGCCTAGATGCCCCTCAACTGTAGAATAGATGCAGAAATTGTGGTACATCTATACAATGGAGTATTACTCAGCAATGAAAAATAAAGAAATCATGAAATTTGCAGGTAAACGGTAGGACCTGGAAAGGATCATCCTGAGTGAGTTGTCCCAGAAACAAAAAGACACACATGGTATATACTCACTCATATAAGCATACAACATAGGATAAACCCGCTAAATTCTGTACATCTAAACAATCTAAGCAAAAGAGAGAACCCTAACTAAAATGCTCAATCCCCATCCTGAAAGTTAAAGAGGATGGACATCAGAAGAAGAAGAAAACAGGAAACAACCTAGGAACCTGCCACAGAGGTCCTCTGAAAGCCTCTGCCCTGCAGACTATCAAAGCAGATGCTGAGCCTGATGGCCAATTGTTGGGCAGAATGAATAGAATTTTATGTAAGAAGTGGGAAATAGCAAGAGCTGGAGAGGACAGGAACTCCCCAAGGAGAGCAACAGAACCAGAAAATTTGAACACAGGGAACTTCCCAGAGACTCATACTCCAACCAAGGACTATTCATGGAGATAACCTAGAACCCCTGCACAGATGTAGCCCATGGCAGTTCAGTGTCCAAGTGGGTTCCATAGTAATGGGAAGAGGGGCTGCCTCTGACACCTCCCTCTGAGAGGGGAGCAGCCTTACCAGGCCACAGAAGATGACAATGCAGCCACTTCTGATGAGAACCGATAGAGGAAGATCAGAACGAAGGAGAGGAGGACCTCCCCTATCAGTGGACTTGGGGAGGGGCATGCATGCAGAAAGGGAAGGGAGGGTGGGATCGGGTGAGGAGGAGAGAGGGGCTTGTGGGGGGATACAAAATGAATAAAGTGTAATTAATAAAAGTTAAATAAAAAATTTTAAAAAAGGAAAAAAATAAATAAATGGAACCTCATGAAACTGAAAAGCTTCTGTAAAGCAAAGGACATGGTCGTCAGAAGAAAACAACAGCCTACAGACTGGGAAAGGATCTTCACCAACCCTATATCTGACAGAGGGCTGGTTTCCAGAATATATGAAGAAATAAAGAAGTTAAAATGCAATAAATCAAGCAATCCAATTAAAAACTGGGGTATGGAGCTAAACAGAGAAGTCTCTGTAGAGGAATATAGAATGGCAGAGAAACATTTAAAGAGATGTTCAACGTCCTTAGCCATCAGAGAGATGGAAATCAAAATGACCTTGAGATTTCACCTTACACCCATCAGAATGGCTAAGATAAAAAACTGAAGAGACAACACATGCTGGAGAGGTTGTAAAGAAAGGGGAACCCTCCTCTATTGCTAGTGGGAATGCAAACTTGTACAACCACTTTGGAAATTAATCTGGCACTTTCTCAGACAATTAGGAATAGCCCTTCTTCAAGATCCAGCTATACCACTCCTAGGCATATATGCAAAAGATGCTGAAGTACACAACAAGGACATTTGCTCAACTATGTTTATAGCAGCTTTATTCCTAATGGCCAGAACCTGGAAACAACCCAGATGTCCATCAGTGCATGAATGGATACAGTAATTGTGGTACATTTACACAATGGCATACTACTCAGCAATTAAAAACAAGGAAATCATGAAATTTGCAGGCAAATGGTGGGATCTAGAAAAGATCATCCTGAATGAGGTATCCCAGAATCAGAAAGACACACAAAGGAATATACTCACTTATAAGTGGATACTAGACCTATAAGATAGGATAAACATACTAAAATCTGTACAAATAAAGAAGATAAACAAGAAAGAGGACCTGGGGCAAGATGATCAATCCTCACTTAGAAAGGACATTGGACAAAGGACATGGACATTGGAAGTAGGAGAAAACAAGTAACAGGACAGGACCCTACCGCAGAGGGCCCCTGAAAGACTCTTCCTAGCAGTGTATCAAAGCAGATGCTGAGACTCATAACAAAAACTTTAGCAGAGTGCAGGAAATCATATGGAAGAAAGAGTTAGTATGACCTGGAGAGGACAGAAGCTCCACAAGGACCAAATATATCTGGGCACAGGGGTCTTCTATGAGACTATATCTCCAACCAAGGACCATGTATGGATATAACCTAGGAGCCCTGCTAGGATGTAGCCTATAGTAGCTCATTATCCAAGTGGGTTCTCTAGTAAGGGGAACAGGGACTATTTCTGACATGAACTCAATGGCTGGCTCTTTGACCTTCCTCCTCTCCCCCCCAATCCCAAGGGAGGAGCAGCCTTGCTAGACCACAGAGGAGGACATTGCAGCCAGTCCTGAAGAAACCTGATAAGTTAGGGTCAGATGGAAGGGGAGGAGGACCTTCCCTATCAGTGGACTTGGAAAGGGGTAGGGGGAGATGAGGGAAGGAGGGTGGGATTGGGAGGGAATGAAGGAGCGGATTACAGCTGGGATACAAAGTTAATAAACTGTAACTAATATTAAAAAAATAAAAATTTAATTTAAAAAAATCTCAACCTGTTAAAGAAAAATCAAAATATGACATTTCATTCATGTGAACGTAACGTGCATTACTTTTCAAATGGCCCAGCTGCTGGGTTGAGAATAAATCTTGAGAGATCTGAAGGCCACAGCCAGCCCATAGCATTCTCAAAGTTCCCCCATGGACACAGAGCCTTACCGTGGCCAGTTTCTCAATGTACTCATCAGGTGCTCCCAGCGAAGCGAGCCCAAATTCCTATGTGCAGAAAATGAGAGTCAATGGTACATATGCAAACTTTACCCTCAGTGCTAACCTCCAATCGTGGGCAGATAATGTGCAACTAGTACCTCTGAAGGACCCAGATGGACTCTAAATGTTCTTAGATGTCCTGGCCATTCTGCATGGCACAGAGGCACAGACCTCAGGAGCGGAGAAAAAATGTGTCACCAGTACTTGGTTCCTTTGCATTCACTTTACAGAAAGAAATCAGAAGGTGGCCTCTGCACAGTCACACAGTCACCATCTAACACACCGGCTGTCGACAGCAGCCCAGTAGTCCCCCCACACAGCATGAGACAGACAGGTCCGGGATATGGGGTGAATCTTAATCAGGTACCTTAAAAATACCACAGAAAAACTACAGGGATGTGATTATATCATTCCAGCCATACCCAAAGCTGGAGAATGTGAACTGCCATTCACCACTAATTACAGCCTCAAATACAGCATTCCTCTAATGATCTCTTTGTCTCTTCAATAGCTCTTCCTCTTTCTTTCTGTGTGTGTCTTTCCAAACATATGTATTCATCTACTCCAAAAGTGTGCATTAAATGCTTCCTACCTGTCAGGACATACATAATAATGGCAAATACCCTTGACCTTATGTTTACAGTAAAAAATGTGTAATTGTTAATGTGTATATAGGTATGTAAAAGGTTAGCAAGGTCTCGGGATAGGGAAAAAAATGAGGAGGAGACAAAGAGAAGTGGGAGATGCAAGTAAACTTGGGAGGCTGTATTATTAATTTGGGTTCCGGGAAAGCAACATCAAAGAGTTGGGACTTGGGAAAATACTTGAATGTTATTGGTTCTGCTGACAACAGAAAGAGGGATAACACAGAGCAAACACAATCTTACTCTAGTGAGAACACTCTCTAAGCAAGGGAAATATAGGCTACTTTAAGGAGCAGAGAGGGACAGACATGGCTAGAGCATGGTGACAGTACTGATAGGTAACACTGAAGATCCTAAATTTGATCATGTAGACCTTTTAAAAAGACACTTTAAGACTTGGGTTTTTCTTTTTACTGAAATGAAAAGTCCCTTCTGGTATTTTAAAATTACTTTTATTGGTGTTCTTCTTTGGTAATGTCATACATGTATATAAATTATTCTGGAATGGACACAATCTAATGTATGTCGTCAAAGACTGTTCCAGCTACTCTGTGAGAACAGACAAGATCGAGGGCAGGATGCCAGCAAGGAGCTACAGAAAGCAAGTGGTGAGTGATAGTGGCTGAGAACATAGTAGTGTTAGTGTATATGATGGGAGGCAATCGGTGTCTACATGGTTTTTAGACTAAAACAAATAGATTTTCAGAAATGCTTGGTTGTTTTAAAGAAAGATGTCAACCCCCAAATGTGTTTTTTGTTTGAGTGAATCAAAGAACGAAGTTGCCATGGACTCACACAAGGAAACTAATAAGTAGAGAAGTTGTAAAGAAGATTCAAAACTCAGCTTTGGAAGGAATATAAAGATGCCTAATCAACATCAAAGTGGAGATTCTGAGCTGATGGCTCATATATAAGACTGAATTCAGCATTGAAGATAAGACATGAATGATCATTATTATATTAGAGCTAGTATTCCAGGTCGTGAAATTGGCTAAAATAACAGGAAGAATGTGTGTGGACAGAGAGTGGGGCTAAGGATTTTGTCTGCCTTGAAGCAAGAGGCTACATTCATGTTGTATGTCACTGCACCCTTCTTTGGGCCCCATCTGGAGACCGGCCTACATTGTCCTTACAAAAAGTACTGTCTGACTTAAGGTAAACTGAATTCAGGTAGCCACTGGCCTGCCTCTACTACCCATCTCCCCATCTCTACTCTACCCACCTTCTTAGATATGCCAGTTCTGCATTTAACAGAGTCCCTTGATAAACTGACATCAAATCTCTACCTTTTTCTCTTGTCATCATTTTTTAAGATAGGGTCTCATGTATTCCAGGCTTGCCTCAAACTGACTATATAGGCAAGAAGGAGTTCCAGCCTCTGTCTCCTAAGTGCTGAAGTAACAGGTGTGTGCCACTACACCTAATGTCTTGTCATCTTTGAAATCCAAGAGCTTGGCTAAAACAAGAGCCCCCAATATTCCTCTGCACCACCACCACCACCCAATTCTGCCCTATAGGGGTAGGACATTTCTGCCTTAACTCAAAAGAAAATGTTCTTATAGAACATTTCTTTGCCTTGGAACAATCCATGTCAAAGTTGAGAGTGTGCTAAGCAGAGATCCTACAATGTCTGTTGACATTAATTGTCCACTCCCTTCCAGGCTTATCCAAAATGCAAATGATTTAAGGAAGACTGCCAGCTGCCCTACAGCTAAACAGAATATCTCTGGTGTTAAAAAATCAAGGTTCCTATTCTCCAAGGAGAAAGCTTCTAATTCTCCTGTCACAGTAACAAGTCCATGTTTTCAAACTGTCTTGAGCAATCAACATCATCTTGGCAGCTGTAACTACACTATTGGCAATAACACTTCTACAGTTAAAGTTCAACCAGACACTCCCATGTCTACAGGCCAATGGTCTCTGGGCTCCGGATTTCCCAAAACCTCACATGGAAGTAACAGGTGTTCTTTGTTTGGAGAGCCTACATCTTCTAGGCAGTCAAGGAATAGGTTGAACTTTTGATTTGGTTTGTTTCAAATAGCAAGTGGCAGCTTCATCAGTCCACAATGGAAATAACTTCTTTCAGTTAATGGGAAATGCTTGTAAATTTGCACACCATGTCATTGATCTGAAATTTCTACTTGGAGCAGTATTTACTCATGAGTCACCTTTGGGTCCTCATTCTTCCTAGTGAGGAAGAAGACTAATATGGAAGGCATGTCACTGATCCAAACTGTGGAAACCGAGGCACATGACGGCCTAATAACTCGCCCTAGTCCACACAGCTACAAGCCATCAACGCTCTGGCTTGGGCCTATCAGTACCTGAGAACCATGATTCAGTCTTCCTTGAATCCAGTTACCCAACTATGTTTTAAAATATTTCTATAGCCTTTCACTTATTCAAATGCCTATGTGTCTATGTGTGAGTATCTTCACATGAATGGATATGCCTGCAGAGATCACAGTCATCAGATCCCTTGGAGCTCAAGTTACAGGTGGTTATTTGTTGCCTGGTGTAAGTGCTTGGACAAAAACTGTGGTCCTCTGCAGGAAAAAAATATACTCCTCTAACTGCTGAGCCATCTCCCTAGACCTAGCCCCTGCCCTCCACCCCACACAACCCCATTTTAGACTTCTTCTCAGGGATGAGAAAGAATTGCCATAATTTTTAGTTCATTGGGAAACAGTTTTGAACTTTCTCATACTGTAAAAGATGAATCAAGTCTATGGTACTGTTTTGACAGTGGCGTGAGACATTTGGCTCTTTTTTTATATTTCTTTTTGTGGTTTCTTTCTTTCTTTAGTCAATTATACATAAGATCATTGACATTGGATTCATGGCAAATGTCATCTTATCTAGTTCAAATAACAAGATGGAAAGTGCCAACGTCTCTAAAAAGAGTACTGGATGGAAAGTACCAGGTGATGTCTGCATAGGTATCAGAGATGCATTCATCAGTGAGAAGGCTCTGATTATACATGTGTCAAGATCATAGAATTTAGCAAATTGACCATAGGCACACCAAAGGATGAACCATCAATCACCAACCCCAGGCTGTCGTTGTTAGAATGAGTGTTTAAGTCATCCCAAGGAACCACACATGCTTCTCTTTGCTGGTCTTCTTGGTCAAGGTCATTTAACTGCATCTTGCTTCCACTCTTACAGAGCGTGTGACAGTCCCTTTATGAGGGATTAACTCATTCCAGTAATGAAGTCACAACCCGATGACCAAGTCTTTTTTCCTTACCTGAGAAAACTGGGCAAAGCTGCGATCTGAAAACAAGGGCACATGTCCCAAGAGTTCATGGCAGATGTCACTGAAACATAGAAAATACATCATTTAGAGGAGGGACAGGTTCAGCCAAAATAGACTCAATGATTTTTATATGAAGAGTGGACAGGAAGAAATAACTCACTGAGGCCTGGGATTTCACTGTCAAGAATAAGTCCAATGCAGAGGAAGGAATGTCTTGAAATAAAGTATGAAAACAAAAGAAAAACGGGAGAGAAAAAGAAAGAAAAGACAGAGCCCTTAGGAGTTCTGGGAGGCAGAAGGGGTTGATGTGCAGAGCTCAGGAGCCAGAATTCCCATGGACCTCTTCTCAGACACCTTAATGAGTTGTGAGTCACAGAATGCTCCTATCCCAGGTCTCCTTGTTCCTGGAGAGGGATAATGTGCCCAGTTTTTCCAATAAAAACTTAAAAAAAATGTGTTGCTCTTCTCTTAGACCAGAGTGGGTTAGCAGTCAAAAGAGAAAGACTACATTTATTTAAATCAGTACCAGGTCCATAGCAACAGATTCTTCTAATTAGTAGCCATGAATGCCATAAAGAGAAGAATTAACAGGTGGCATCATACTGCTCTCTTTGGATCAATTTCTATGTGGCTAATGGCTAAACGCCCAGATAGAAAGCACAGTGGCCACCCATTCTCTCCTTCTAGCCAATAATCTCAGCAAAGACCTAGAATCATCTAGATGCTCATTTAGGAGATGCTGAGATCACTTGGCTACTCTTGTTCCTGTCCTATTTGGAACTTCAGAGGTCTGACTTTGGAGGTTGAAGGAGCCTCTATTCCTGATGCCCAAAGAGGTCCAAATCCTTGGTTCATGGGATGTTGGAATGTGCATCCAAATTTCGAGTATCTGGACAGAGACCATCCACAGGGTGAGTTTCTCTTAGAACTATGACCTAACAAAGCAGGCAGCATGTGGACCAGCTGCAGTGAACCTAAGCAGTGTCCTCAGAGCAGGGAGGGCTGGTGCCATTGTGATTGGCAGTAGTCGCTGGATACTCACGGCTCAGGCGTGTACATGGGCTTAGATCCATGCCTAATGTACTGTGTGCAATGGAAGACTCGGAAGGCCAGGCCACCCAAGAAATCTCGAGATGACAGTAAGCCAGCAACAGGTCGGAGGCGGAATCCAGTACAAGCTGGAAAGGAGAAAAGAGCCTAAAACTCAAAGCTTATTGTAAGAGGTCTCAACCTGCTATCCTGCATATCAGGTGCATAGATGTTATGGGTACAATGCTAGCAAAATAACAATTATGAAGTGGCAACAAAGTAATTTTTGGTTGGGGGTCACCACAGCATGAGGAACTGTATTAAAGGGTCAAAGCGTCAGGCAGGTTGAGAACCATAAGCATTATGGTGAAGCCACAGAGTAGAGAACCAATACCTGTGAATGTGGGCTTTGCTACCAAGGAGACGTGGCTTCTTGGTCTCTGCCCCCTTGGCTGCTTTAAGTCAAATAAACTTAGATTGCCAAGCCTCCGTTTTGTTCACCTGCAGGATTTGGCTGGGCACTCCTGAGAGATGTCATAAACATCAAGACCATAACCTCTAAAAGTTACTTAGTAGAGCCCAGCCCACTGCTCAGTACATTTCCCTTTTGTTGCTTTTTGTTCGGAGCACCTTCCCACTACTTCTCATGTTTCCAGAGCAGGAAGGAAGTGTAGGATCAACATCCAGAGGACAGCGTGCAATCAGCACTCCCAGATTCTCTACCATGCCACACACAGCCCATCCCGGGAGGAGAAATGCCCTATCTGGCTGCAGCAAATGGGAAGAGAGGATTTGCATACAATTTAGCCATTTCTCTCTTTCCCTCTCTCTCCTCTCCCATGTGGCCTGTGGTTTATGCCTTCCCTCCCTTCCTCTCTTCCTCTCTCTCTCCCTCCCTCCTTCCTTCCCTCCCTTCCTCTCTCTCCCTCCCTCCTTCCCTCCCTTCCTCTCTTCCTCTCTCTCCCTCCCTCCCTCCCTCTCTTCCTCTCTCTCTCCCTTCCTCTCTCTGTCTCCTTCCCTCCCTTTCTCTCTCTCCTATCCATAAAGCAGTGCCTGCTGGTTCCTCTTAGTTCAACAATGAAGGAGGCACTGAAAGCTGGTAGATGTTTTCCTAATCAAGGGCTAAATATTTAGAAGGTTTTGAGCATACATCTCTACCATGAACGCTACCAGTCGGTAACCGTCCTTTGCTTCCTACATCTGTTTCTCAGTCTACTCTACCCCAGGAAGCAAGATGTGGCCCTGAACATGCAATAGTTAACACTACATACTGCCTAACATATGCCAGGTACAGCTCTAAGCGTTCTGCACAGGCCAACCCTGGAAATGCTGTGAGGAAGACATTTTATCATTCCCACATTCAAGGTGGCGAAGCTGAGACATGGGTTAAAGCTTTTAGTCCAGGGCCATAAGCCACAGGCCACATGGCATCAAAGCTCTCCAACTGCTAGCATTCATGTTTTATCATTGTTACTACTGGCCACAGCATTGAGGCCAAAGCTGGAGACCGTCTTTAGGACTGGCTTTCTCTCCTTTCACACTACATTTTCAGGCTGTTAATTACTACTTGAACTCTTGCTCCTCACTTTATTCTATAAATAGCAGAGACCTTGAAGATCACCTCTCAGTCTGTTCCCACTTTAACCTCCCTCCCTGCCATATACATTTCTGCTTTCTTTCCTATCTCTTCGGGGTTCTGATGCATAGAAAAATCCTTCCTTTCTACATGACTGTGGTTTGTCTCCCTATATCTCCTTATTCTACCTAGCATATAGCAGGTGTTTAATGTGACCTAGTTGACTGGGTTTCGCTGAATGAGCACCCTATTGTCAGAAAGAAAACCATAATCTGCCTTGGAAAGGCTATGCAGAGGCTCATCACCCTGATGAGGCACCCCAAGTGTCTCATATCACCTTTAAGCCCCAGAGTCACTGAACACTGACCGTGGACCCAGCTCTGTCCAGGTGCTTGCTTTTGAATGCAACACCTCACTGTATTCTCGTAATTTCCCTATGAGGGATGCCAAAGGGGAGACAGTGTCTATTTGACAGATGACAACATGAAGGCAGCTTTGCACAACCCGAAAAGGTCAAAGGCAGGATCCATCTCAGATGCAGAGAATCAGAGCGAGGCAGAGAATCAGAGCGAGGGACTCTTGGCACAGGTCCACAGAGCATTTTTTTTTTCCGTGAACTGGCATTGCAACCATATCCTAACAGTGGGAACTGCAGGCCAAACGCCGACGGGGCACCTCAGGCTTTGACGATGAAAGCAGCTATATGGCAAAGGCCCACACGGTTCTTGCTCGGATGGAAGAAGTTCAGTGATGGAGGTGAGAGGGAAGGTGGGACGATGCTGCTGGGTTCTTCCGCACTCCGACACCGACACCGCTACTCACAGCAGCCTCCATTTACTCCCCCCACTTCCCCTTATCCCCCCTACCCCGCACCCCTCTCTCCCCCATCACCCCCTTCTCCCCCACCCCCGCTCCACTGTCTGCAGGGCTTTGACCCTGATGTGGCTTACTCTGCAGAAACTGGGAAACGTCCTCCAGCTGGGGAATGTTGTCTTCGCGGAAACCGCAGTACTTTTCCAGAAGTGGGAAAATGTGGTTGTACTCATAGCAGGCGTGTGTTTTGTACAGGGACTTCAGCGTCCTGAACACCGTCCCCCAGGTCTTCTTCTCCTCCTCTGTGTACTCCACCCGAGGGATGGGCTGCCCACTAGAATACAGGCACAGAAAAGGTGTCTCCAGCAGGGAAGTGTCAGGGGGTCAGGGCGCACAATTGCAGTAGGGCCCCGAAAGGCGCCGCCACTGACCGGCATGGACTTCAAGAATTGTTTGAAAGAGGAAAGTCTCATAGGAAACACTGCTGTGTTGGCTCCCGCATGAAAACATGGTTTGGTTGAGGATTCGCTGTCATTCTGGGAAGTCGTTCGGCCTTTCTGCACCTCTCGCAGCCTAACTCAGCGGTTCTCAACCTTCCTAATGCTGTGATCCCTTAATATAATTTCTCAGGGCGTGGAGACCCCACAGCCATACAATTCTCTCATTGCTACATCATAACTGGAATTTTGCTACTGTTATGAGTCAGAATCGAAACATCTGATATGCAACCCCTTTGAAAAGGTCATTTGACCCCAAAGGAGCCACTGCCCACAAGTAGAGAATTACTGCTCTAAACTAGTTGTTCAAGGTAGAAGCTTGCTTTCAGGGGCTAGGCAGGTGACCGACATATGTAAGGCAGTATGTACAGGACAGTACAAAGAGTGGGAGCTGAGACAGCTAGACAATGCATCCTCTCTCCAAACAAAGACACCCAAGTTCTTTAAAAACATCAGAGTGTCTTGCATTATATCCACTAAAGCAATAACTTCTGGCTAACCTGAATTTAATAGATAGGGTATGTATTTGAAACTTGTCTGTGGAGTTTGCACCTGGTGAGTTTGATGTTTTTGATCCTGGGAAATTATGAAGCTGTTTAAATGCAGGCTAAGGTGCCATAGTGTATAAATCTACATAGTTTAAGATAGTTTAAGGTGTGTGTGTGTGTGTGTGTGTGTGTGTGTGTGTGTGTGTTGCTACATATCATAAGCACAGAGATCTGTCAACTAACCAAGTTCTGGGACAAAGCTAAGAAATTTATAAATATTGGGATGGGGGAACAAATAAGCAAGGCCATGCTAAGATATAAGATTTGCTTATATGTGTTGAAGCATCAACAGTTGAGCCTCACTGTCCTGAATGCACTGGGGAGGGAATGCCAAAGTGGACCTTAATACGCTCCCGAGGTGAGTGGTGCAAGCTACAGTTTAAGAGTCATTAGTTTGGTAGCTTCTGGGCTGTGTCCTGAAAACAATGAAAACCAAACAAAGCCTGACCTCCTGGGCCAGGGACTGTTCGCTGGGCTGCAGGCCTGCTCCACTCACGAGGGACATAAAGTCTAGGACAAAATGGGACTGTTTACCTTGGAACTGTGTGTCTGGTTCCAAACTAAGGCCCTCCCGCACTTTCAAAATTGTACCTCATCCAAGGACATTAGAGCAGAGACTTATTTTCTAGAGGAAGGTGGGCAGGGGGTGAGGAAGAAAGACAGATTGTTGGTTGAGAAATGAAAAGGACTCAAGCTCAGAGGATCTTCTGGTGGCCCAGCAGGGACTGCACAATCGTGTCACTGGAGCTTTCGCCTAAGACTACACCCTAATGCAGGGTTAAGTGGTGAAGGAAGAAAAGAAAAAGGCTTTGGAAGTAGAAACTGATCAAAACCCAGCCCTGCCATTTTCTAGATGTGTGGTCTCAGGCAATTTAGGAAACTTCTATGAGCATTAGTCCTGCAGTTAACAAATATTCTTGGATAAGATTATATGAAATGTTATGCATAAAGTAATATGTGTACGTATATATGCATGTATAAATTATTTTATGTAACATATAGATATGTGCATATCCTAATATTGTATATCCTAATATTGGAATTGGCAATAACCATTGATCATTAAGATAACTAGTTCTCATGTCAAAGAAAGACATTGATGGGGCAGCAGCACAGCCCTGTGGTTAAAGGCACTTGCTACCAAGCCTGCCTAGAACCCCACGGCGAGAGCACTGAGTCACACACGTTGCCCTGTGACTTCCACACGTGAATCATGGCAGGTACACACACACACACCACCACCACCACCACACTAAACAAACAAACAAGTTGCTAAAACAAAAACAAGAAAGGCAACTGGCATTTTTGGAACAAGTTTCCAGGAGTGGTGACATTTTGAATGCACAGCTGTCCTCCTGGTCAACATTTTCTCTTCTGGTGACCCAGCATCTCTTTCCCCTTCTTTCCCCTTTCAGGTTTGAGAAAGGGAAGGAAGAGTGCTGCCTCTGCAGGTGGGAGTGTGGGGAGGGTGGCCCACTCTCGGAACCTCTTTATCCTGACCACAGTGACTGGCTGACAAATGGCCCATGTCTCAGAACTAACAAGACCCCAATCACAGAACCTTGGCACTCTATAGGAAACAGTCCGAACTTCTCATTGAGTTGGGACATCGCATGGGAACTCTGAGAGAGATGAGACTGAGCCTGAAAAACAGCAACAGTCCTAAAGACCTGAGCCAGAAAAATGACATGAGACCCCAATCCTGGACCTGCTTAGGCCCAGGGTTTAGTAGACACGGTGGAAATGGTGAGAATTATTCTGGGGACAGATAAAGTGAAATCCTGCCTTTATCACTGGCTAGTTATTTGACTTTGACAAGTTATTCAACTTCTTTCAGCTTCAGCTTCCTCATCCGAATAGTAATTACAGCACTGAATACACACGTGCACACACACACACACACACACACACACACACACACACACACACTTCAGAGAAGGTGGTGTTTGGGATGTCTCTCCATCCACAGGTAGATTTTTGTTTGCCACATAAAGCCCCAGCATTTCCTTATGCCACCGACAACCTACAGAAGCTGTTAAAGTACTCGTACCTCAGTCTCTGGGACAGCTTTGGAGGTTCTTTTATGTGTTTCTCTTTTTTATTCCCTTAGCTCAGAAACTGCTGCCTCAAAACACCAAGTTTCCTGAGTCACAATTTACATATTCCCTGAGGACTCACAACAGCAGAGCCGTAATGTTCCCAAACAACACATCTGATATGGCCATTTTCTTCTGGCTAAAATAAAATAGAATTGTGAACAGGAAAAAAACGTCTCCCATCTGTCAGCTGCCCCGCACGGCTGGGTCAAATCAGACAGGTAGCACACAGGGTGTGGCTGCTCTGGCGGGTTCCGGGACTCATTACTTCACTGAGCAGCCAGCTCTCTTCTCCCTGGTCTAATGTGGAGACCAGAGGTGTTTCATTCATGATGGAAGCCTTTCCAATCATTTCAGACACAATAAATCATTAACTAGCAAAGCTCTGGAGAGGACTGGGCTGCAGCACAGTGTTTGATCTGCAACTTTTTAAAACATGTATTATTAAGGAGAGAGCTTAGACACACAGATACATACACCACATACATACATACACATATACACACATACAGACACAAAACACACACATATACATGCACACACATACATCATATACACACATACACATACTTATATATACATACACACACACATGCACACACACATACAAACACACACACATACACACACAGCAGGACATTCTAGGCCAGTGTTTCCAGCCTGGAGGGGGGATCAGGAGTATGCTCTGCTCTCAGTTGTCTGATGGAAAGACTTACTGGCGGTAGTTGTAGGCAATGTCAGCAAACTGCTTTCGTCTCGCCCGGTACACAGGATCTTTAAAGCCCTGAGAGAGAGAAGACACTTGATGACTCAAGTCTGCAGAGGGAGAGGCCTGGCACCTCCAGCAATGGTCTGAGTGGAAGCTGTTGAGCTATGACACTACATTGATGATGTGCTAAAACAAAGTCGTAGCTAAACACAGGGGCAGTTAATAGTTGGGATGACACACGCTCTGCCACACCTTCAAGCCAGTGGGATGTTCTCCACTCTGGGATTCCAATATCTGCAGGTATGCTCTGGTCGTAAAGAAGTATCATCTACATCATTCCCAGATTCTAAACTAACATGATGAAGCCAAGTCAGATGTCTGTGATGAAGACATAAAATATTCACTCAGTTTCAAGCAAGTAGTATGTTTAGTAATGCCTCCGTGTGTGTGTGTGTGTGTGTGTATGTGTGCGCGCGCACACACACACTCGAGCTGAGATATATGTACACTTGTAGGGGTGGAAGTTGGGAGCATGCTGAATCCAAAGGCCAAACTTGGGTGTCAATCCTCAGGAACCTTCTGCCTTATTTCAGGAGATAACCATATGACAACATGTCCAGCTTTTTACCTGGACCACGGGGAAAGAACATGGGTCATCATGCCTTACATCTGTACTTTCCTAACTGAGTTATCATAGCAGTTTCCATTTTAAAAAAAAGCCACTGTAGAAATTAGTATGGAGGCTCCCCTTCATTCCTTGCTAGACAAATGGATATGTGCCTACTGCTATGGAAATTTTATATTCTGCATTTTATTTTTCTTGAAATAGGGTATTTCTGGATATCCCAAACTGGCCTCAGTTCTCCTGCCTCAACTTCCCAAGTGCTCAGATTATAGGCCTGCCTGAGCCACCATGCCCTGCTGGCAATTTTTGAAAACGTCATTCTCCAGGTTTCTACACCTGTGGCAGCTTTGGACACAAACCTGCCAGCTAGATCAGTATGTGTGTTCTTCCAGAATCAACACCGATGCAGGGAAGCAGATCCATGGTGGAAAGGCCAGGCTGTGGTTCACCCAGTCCTCTGCTCTTTTTACTACACTTGAGTAATTGTGAACCTTTCTGACCTGGCAGGCACTCCACTGACTGAGCAAGCCACCCAGCCAGCAGGATGACAGGGACTTCTCTGAGGCTGACTGGCAGACAGTCTTCCCAGGCGTGCCAAGCAGCACATTTCCAAGGGAAAAGAGGCCGAGTGTGTCTGTGAGTGTTTAGGGTGGAGTGGGGCACATCATGAGTTGGAAGTATTCCAAACGACGAAGAGTGTATTTTACAGAAATGTTCACTGCGCTCTGAATCTTGGTGAGACAAGAGCCTAGTCTATCGCCATAGAAATCTTCCCTGCATAGAAATGTTCCCTGCAAACATTTCCCAACAAGCCCTTCCAGAAGGCGCTTCAGCTTCCAATTTATCTGTCTCTCCAGACATCCAAACCATAGACTGACTGACCTGAAAACTAAGGCTGTGTCATGGGCAGTGTTTAAGGATGCCTTTGAAGAAGGTCAATATTCCCTATTTTTTAAATGTTGCCTTTGTTTCCTTGGCTTGACTGACTTGTTGGGCTTTGTTAATTTTTTTTTTTTTTTTCATATCAGGGCCAGCCAGCATGGTCAAAAAAAAGTAAGGCAATTTATATGAGGTAATTTTACCTCATATGAGAACCTGGATATGGAAGTAAAGAAAGAAGAAACTGGAGAACCAGAAGCAAAAAAGATGGGAGGGAGAGAGAAGAAGAGGGAGGGAGGGAGAGAAAGACATTAGAAAAGATGTGTGTAAAGAGATATCTAGGCATTTACCCGGAGGCATTTTGAGAAAAAAAAAATCCAAATGTTTTACTCTAGTAAAAAAAAAAAAAAAAAAAAAAAAAAAAATTACCACATAGTTACTCCAAACCCAAAGCCCAATTATAGGAAATACTACTCAGTTTAAAGATTCTGTGACACGATTGTTACAAACTGCAAGTGGTTGTTGTCCCTCAAACACTGGCTGGACTGATATCATCAGTTACAAATGTGGGAACCAGAGACATGGCTCAGCAGCTAAGAGTTCTTGCTGTTCTTCCAGGGGATTCAGATTCCTTTTCTAGCACATACCTAAGGTAGCTCACAACCACCTGTAACTCCATCTCCAGGGGATACCACACCCTCTGCCGGGCTCCACGGGCACTCGCACACATGTGTCATGCAGTCTTACACAAATGCACACGCCCATGCATCAATAAAAAATAAAATAAAACAAAGAGGGAACTGGGAGTGTTTGTTCATCTGCTGCCCGCCTTTGAGACAGCAGGTTCCTGCTCTGTGGCCGGCTTGCCATCGTCCCAGCCTCATGGGTATCAGGATCGCAGGTGTACAGCGACCACACCAGGCTGCAGGAACCTGAGAACTTGCAGCTCACATAGGGTTCACTTTTGCTTTCTACCTTTGGGTAGTCTAGAAAGAAAGTTAAATTTCCAAGTATCTCCAGTATGCCATTGAGGGGAGGGAGGGAGAGGGCTAAACAATAACCATTTATTCATCCATTTCTTCATACTTGAACTCAAAATAGCAAATTAAATTTAACAATTGTCATCTTGACCACACAGTCTTAGCAGTTGATAGTATGTCCCTCTCTTTAGCCCCTCAAAATATAAAAGAAAGATTTTTCATTGGGCACCCTGAAGAATGTCGGCTTCTCTTTTGGTATTAGAAGGGCAGTGAAGCCCTGTTAGGCTATTTTCTGAAGGGTCCTGAAGTGTAAAAAAATAAGATAAAATACTTAATTTTCATTAATGTTTTCTAATCCTTCCCAAACTGGCAAGTTGAGATTTGGGAGCTGTGGCAGGAAAGTGCGGACACGAGAGAAAACTCATTCAGTGAAAAGATTTCTATTTCCCACTGCCCCCGGGAAGGGAAGGGGATGCTCAGGCCTAATTCACCCCCACTCAGCTATCATTCATCAGTAATGTCTTTGTCCGGGTCTTTAGGGATTTCCCACCTGTGAAAATAAAAGCCCAATGCAAACTTGCTTATCTAGCAGACAGTTCCTGTGTCCAGGGGAATATACAAGTGAAATGGTGCTAAGAAATGTTCTGTGGAGGTGGTGGCGAGAGTGGCTAGCCAGAAATGCTTTGTACATTTTTGAAGTTTTCTTCTGTGAATACGTAAATTTTTTGTGATTGGGAGGAAGCAAAGTAACAGTCTAACTCCATTTCAAATCACTTGTGGGTAGTGACAGGGGATCTAATACATGAACGGACATGTGTAGTGTCTTGTGGAGATTCATTACTTGGGAAGGGCCCTTACTACATTCCTCTCCAGCTCTGTGTCTCTAAAACATTCAGTATCAGGCTGAAAAGACCTCCCACCAATCAGATCTCAGGGACTTTGGTCCATTAGGTATCTCTGGTTAGATCTGTGACCTTGTAGTCCATCCTTTGGGGACTTGGCTTTCCGTTTTCTAGGTGGCTAAGTGGTCCCACAGGTCTCCGTGGCCATCCCTGCAAACTGCATCCTGGATTAAGCTGTAATTGGTGCCGACTGATCACCCTGTCTCAACTTAGACTAATAGCAGCAATTTCACCAGCACTGCACGTGACTTATTTACAATCACCCTGTCTCGATTAAGCTAATAGCAGCTATTTGGCTTGCCTGGCATGTAACCAAGAATGTTTTGACAGGAATGCATATTGCCAGTGAAGAAGTGATGAAGGGAAAGGGCTCAAAAGATGGAGACGTCTGCAAGATAAGAAATTATGACAGCACCAGAGCCTATATGCAGCCCCTTCACGGTCTCAGAAATTTTATTACTTACGGGCATTTCTGACAAGCCTTCTGAGCATCCTTCTAGACTGATACATCTCATGCACCATTTCTTCGTGTCACTGCTGTGTACAGAGGCATGCCATCTTAAGGACAGCAAGGAGATCATGGGTCTTGAGCTGCTATGGTGCACTCACTGCGATCACAGCCTCTTGGTCAGTTTATCCCTCTGACTTAAGTTCCCTCGTAAGGGAAATGAGATCGGAATCACACCTGCTTCGCAGAGTCTCGTGGACAGGGTTAAGTCACAGAACATCAAGCACAAATGTGACCACAGGACAAGAACTCAGGGAATGCCATAGCTATGCAAAAAGGCACAATTGTGAAACCTGGGGAGTCTGGCTCAGAACATAAAAAGTACACTCTGGAATGAGACTCTGGGTTCCTTCACAAGTCCTTGGGCCTTTTAAAGGCATCTACAGGGCCAGCCAGATGGGTCAGCAGGATAAGACACTTGCTGCTCAAGCCAAGTGACCTGAGATTGGTACCTGGGGCCCACATGGTAGTAGAAATTTCCTCAAATTCTTCTCTGCTCTCCAGAGGAGTGCAAGACCACACATGTCCCCATCCATATACGTCATACATGCACACACATTCTATCTTTCTAACAGTTTTTTTTTTTTTTTTTAGATAGGGTCTCTCTCTACATCATCCTGGCTGTCCTAGAACTCAGTATATAGATCAGGCTGGCCTCAAACTCAGAGATCTGCCTGACTTTATCTCCTGAATGCTGGGACTGAGATCATGTGCCACCAAGCCCAGCTTATAATTTTTAAAATAAAAGATAACAGGTGTTGAAAATTTTGAAAAGAAAGGGGACCACTTGAATTCTATTTATGGGAACAAAAAACAGTGTATCCATTACAGAAAATGATATGAGGTCTCTTGAATCATGAAATGCAGACTCTTCACACAGTCCTTCCTATGGTAACAGAGTTCAATGCTGACATCTGGAGAAGAGATGGGAGAATGGCTTTCAGGGGCCAGGGATGAGAGTGTAGCCTTCCAGGAGCCTACCTTGACTTAGGTCTATAGCTTTTCACAGAGATGCCCTCAGTTTCTCTTTTCTGTACGGTTATTCTGTCCTGTTGCCCTTGCTCTCCCCAGGTCTCCACACTCTTAACTTTCTGCGCCCCCTCTCTTCCCTTGTTCTCTCTCTTCAACCACAACCTCTGTCTATTCTATCTCTCCTCCCAAGTGAGATTTACACACCACCCGTGGGTCCTCTGTGCTACTTATCTGCAGTGGGTCTGCCTCGTAGTATGCTTCTCCTGTACTATATGGCTAAAGTCCACTTACAAGTGAGTACATGCCGTGAGTGTCTTTCTGGTTCGGAGTCACCTCCCTCGGAATGATCTTTTGTAGTTCCATGCATTTGCCTGCAACTGTCATGAGTTTTTAAATGGATGAGTAAATGTGTGACTGTGCCGAGATGGGTGCTCAATCAGAGACTTCTAGCAGCAGAGGACACCCTCTAACTAGACTAGTCTCCTGGCAGAGGAAGGGGGACACCAACCCACCCACAAAAACTTCGACACAAAATTTACCCTGCCTACAAGATGTGCAGGGATAAAGATAGAGCAGAGATTGAGGGAATGTCCAACCAATGCCTGGCCTAAACAAAGACCCCAATATCAGGGAATGACAACCCCTGAAACTATGAATGATGCTCTGCTAGGCTCACAGGAGCCTGACAGAGTTGTCCTCTGAGAGGCTTTACCCAGCAATGCCTCAAAACGGATGCTGAGAATCACAGCCAAACATTGCAAGATGTGTAGGGAGTCTTGTGGAAAAGCGGGAGGAAAGAGAAAAGGACCTGGAGGTGACATGAGCTCCAGAAGAAGACCAACAGAGCCAGCTGGGCCCAGAGGGGACTGCTGAGACTGAAGCATCAACCAAGGGCCATGCACAAACTTGACCTAGCCCCCCCCCATAAAGATGTAGCAGATGGGCAGCTTAGGCCTCATCTGGGTCCTCTAGTAAGGGAAGTGGGGACTGCATAGGACACAGACTAATTTGCGAGGTTTTTATCACTTCTCCCTAGAGATACTGCCTTGCCAGGCCACAGGGAAAGAGGACACACTCAGTCCTGATGCAACTTGATGAGCTGGGTCTGATGGGAAAGAGAGTTCCTCTTTTCTGAGGAAAAGGGGAGGAGGGGAGGAAAGGAGGTGGGACTGGTAGGGGAGGAGGGATGGGGCTACAACAAGGATGTAAAGTGACTTTTGTTTTTAATGTAACCTTGGAAGACCAGGAGGGGTTTGCCAGTGGGAATGAACAGGGATGATGGGGATCCACTCAAGTAGAGGGCACAGCAAGTGGTCAGTCTGGGGAACGGAAATCAAGCACAACCATTAGAAGCCTGCCTACAAAGCTTATAGCTGCTATCTCAGGCTTCCCTGGCATCACTCTGAGAGAAGTGGACGCTGGTGGGCACAGACGAGATCTTCACTATAACTTCTGCTCCCTTTCCTTAATTGTATGGAACACAGCTCTCACAGACACCATTTCCAGAAAGTCCTCACCTGAAAATGAAAAGTCCAACCCTCCCAGGGTGCTGACTGACAATAGATTTAAGGACATGCTGAGAATTTAGTATAGTTCCTAGGACACAGGAGGATCAGAAAAGATTAACTAGGAATGCTTGACAAATACTTGTGGAAAGGAAGAAAGGGAGGAAGAAGGGAAGAAGAGAGAGAGGAGGAGAAAGAAGGAGAAAGAAAAAGGGAGAGAGGGAGACAGAGAGAGAGAGGGAGGGAGGGTGGGAGGGAGGGAGGGGAGAGAAAAGGGAAAAACAGAAAGTGGGGAAAGTGAGGGAGAGGGAGAATGAAGAAGAGAGACAAAGAGGAAGAAAGAGAGAGAGCAAATAAGGCCGGAGGGACAGAGTGAAGGACAGACTGCCATCCTATCCCATTTCCTCAGTTAGCTGAAGCTTCAGGCAGGGTGCCTTTACCCTACATTTCTAGAACAATCCTTCCCTTCCTTCATTTCACAAAGTGGCTGTTTGGGAGGCACTGAATCACTAGGTCAGACACAAATGGATCCTGCCAAAGACAGGGGGTCAGGGGAGAAAGGGATCACACTGACTGCAAGGGACAGAATGGAACAGAGGGTCCTTGAAAAAGAACAGCCCCTTCACAGCTAGGCTGGTGTCTGCTTGCAGTTCACACCTTGAGGCCAGGCCATGACTTTGCTCTGTGCTTGGCCCCTGTTGCTAGCATCTGATGAAAGACCGAGGGAACAGAGAGAGCCTGGCGCCTCCCCTACAGGGGGACTGTGTACCTGATATGTTGTGCTTTTATGATAAAATTCATGACATTGAGAGGCTCAGAAGCCAAAGATTTGGCCTGGGTTGGCAAAGTGAAACGAATTCCAGAGACTTTTAAGGCCAACTTTAGCTTCTGAGGGGACATGAGATTCAAGGGAAGGACACTTCCCTCTTTCTCTCTCTGGACTGGCCTCTTCCACCCAAATGATTAGGATTGAGGCCAATGGGAAGAACAGAAGGTCAAGGCAGGATGAGGGGCTGATGAGAAAAGCCCTGGTGTGTGCATCCCGCTGGTTGAGGCTGGTCAGACTTGCTTTCCTGGGGGAAGAGATCTCTGGAGACATTTTTTGCTTGTAAGGCCCACAGCTAAGAGACTCAAGCAGAAGCTTGTGAGAGGGGAGATCAGAGTGTGATTAGCGTGGCCTTTGCCACCCCGAGGCTCCAAGAAATGAGCTGTGTCACACAGGGAGACAACAGAGAATCTGTCTCCAGAGTTGGTGCTTTCGCTCTGTGTTCAGTGTGGTTGGATGTCATTTGGTTTGACCTGGTCATTAGTTTTGGTCTGGTCTAGTTTGGATTCTAGAGACAGATTCTCACTATGTAGCCCAGGCTGCCTCAGCATTCCTGAGCCTCCTGCTTGAGGCTCAGCAGTGCTACACCATGTCTGTGTAACAGAGTGTGCCAGGCCTAAACAGGAGGCTCAAACACAACTTCTGTCCTAACGCAGGACACTTTATTCTAACATCACAACTAAGATTCGGGAAAGCCACTACCAGTCCATTCGAAAATGTGAGGTAGAGCTCTTCACTCTGTGTAACAGTGAAGAAGGGTTTGTGGTGGCAACGCCTCATGAGTGACAAGTCTGGGTTGATGTGAGTGTAAGGGACGCTCTCCCAGACATCAGTATTATTTTAGAAAAGTGTGAAAGTAAGGTTTTTGTGGGTTTTTTTTTTCCTGCTTTGAAGTATAGAGGATGGATCAATTCATCTTGTTTCTGGTCAAAAAAATACTTTTTTTTTTTAATTGAAGGATGGAATAAAAAGGAAACTCTGGATAACTGAAGTTGCTGGGGTCTTCCTCATTCATTTCAAGTCTTCTCACAAGGGTTTGCTGCTTGAGTTGCAGCAGGTGCCAGGTTCCCCTGTTTTAAAAGGCCAGCCCACGGCTCCCCACTTGTTGAGTTCCTGCCACCAGCAGGAACTACCCAGAGTACTGGGTAACATCCAAGGAATCAAGGTTCTATCGACAGGACATTGGAGAAGTGGGTACCTGTCATCACTGGACCTGTGTGAGATGGATACCTTCGAGCTGAAGGAAACTGTCCCTGGGAAGAATCAGCCTTCTGTTAGCTATTGAACACCACAAAGCAGTGAGGAGATGGAATAGCACCAGCCACACTAAAACCCTGTTCATATAAACAGCTTCCTGGTTATTAAAGGCCGGAGAGCCACTGCCTGGCAGAGAGTAGAGAACACGAGGTCATAATGACACGCGGCCCACCTAAGGAAGCTAGCTGCCAGACCACCTTAAGCTTCTGCCTGGACTGTTCACCTCCAAGGACCGTTGGCCCGAGAGACAAAGAAGGAATAAGAAGATTGCCTACACAAACACACACACACACACACACACACACACACACACACACACATATACACACACACACACACTCCTCTAGTGAGAACTATTAAAAAAAAAAGCCAAAAACAAACCAAATCTGTCCTTTGCCCACAAGATGCAGGCACGGGGAAATTCCCCACTCCTGAAAATCCGATTGAATCTGTACTTGAGCTGCCTCTCTCACCATCATACCTAAGGTGCCATCCACCCACCTCCACCACGGCGAATACTCTTGGAAGCAGGTGTGATCTTCTCAGCCAAATGTCCCTTCTTCCCCATCTGTCTAAAGCCTTCTACTCAGCTCCCCAATGTCACCTCTCTCACTGTCCCTTAGCTGTGCTTGACTGAAATGTCCATCAAATGTACAAGGGCAGAAAAATGAATACACACAACTGTATAGAGAGATAGCATTTTCTGCCTATTGGCTCACATTCACTCCAATAGTAATGACGCCAGTAATGACGACAGCAAGGTCTCATGGTCTCGTTAATCTTTGCTTTCCCAGTCCTGGCATACGTAGGAACTCAGTTTTAAAAAATTGACCAAATAAACAAACACTGCTCCAAGCTAAAGAGGTGGAGGAGGGGAGAGGCAGAGAAGGCGGAGAGAAGGTTGGAAGACTCGTCCTCAGAGCCCTGGACTCACTGGGTGGTCTGCGTCCAGTTCGGCTCCATAGCTCAGAATCTGGTTGGCGAATCTGTCCAGCTCTTGAATGGTCCTCGGGAACCAGGGCACTGCAACACAGAAAGGGCATAGTCCTGAGTGCAGATTGTGGGACATGTGGGTAATATCCTTTCTGAAACCCAGTTTGTCAAGCCAATACTGACAGTAAACAGGGTTCTGCATCGCTCCTAAATTGTTAAGTCCATTTCCTTGGGAAGCTGATTTTAAAGAGGCCCCAAAAAGGCCTCCAGGCTTAGACTGAGCCCTGGCCTCTGCTGGTCTTTGGGACCTCTGTCTCAGCGAATAAGGAATGAGGAGGTCTCCTATCCCCTCCTTTAAGGGACTCTTTCCCTGCCTACAGAACACAGGACAAAGCAAGTTCTGCACTGAGGAATATTAGACCTTTGGAACTCTGATTGAAAACCATACCCTGGCTCTGTCTCAGGCCTAAACATTTTCCTGAATTGTCTCAAACATCCGCTGCCCACCGTTTATATTAGCTGTCAACAGTGGGGTGTTTTGCAGCAAAATATTATGTATAGCCCCAATATGAATTAGACAAAAATTAAAGATTAGCCCTTAGACCCCCAGCTTCCCACCACATTACTCCCTCCTGAGTGCCTGCACACCCCACAAAACCTCTTGATCTCAAAACCAGTGACAGCCCTTGTGAAAGCGACATGGTCAGGGGCTTGCTTTCCAAGGTAACATCATGAGGGCAGAGAGGCTGCAAGAGTTTTGTGTCAGCAGTAACTGTGTCCTTCCCAGAGAGGGGCCAGGGAGAAGCAGACGACACCACTCAAATCCTTGCGGCTTATAAGAAACAGACACACTGCGTCCAAGTGTCCTGTGTATGGACAGATAGAGATAGTAGGAAGATTTGAACTCTAAGTGCCCTTGGCATGAGGGAAACAGGAGCCATGAGGGTTCCGTGGCTGTGAAGAGGTTGAAAGGAACAGAGTAGAGGAAGGATCTCTAGTTATATGAACATATAAAGCTTTAACAATAGTGACCACCGTTCACAGCCTCTGCTCTGACCTACTTTTTGTGTCTGAAGTCTTCCTCAGATAAAGACGATATTACAGCCTCTACTATACAGATGAAAAGCTGAGTATTTAAAAGCCTGAAAATCAAAATAATTGGCTTAAGATCACACAGGGACTAAGTTGGTGCCAGAATGATACAAGCAGATAGATAGTCATGCAGGGTCCATGAAGTGAGCCAAGGGAGCGGCTGTTACCCCCTCTCCCTAAACCGGGCTGAATTTGCAAGCAGGCCCGGCCTGGCTTCAGCTGGTCAGCGTCTCTGTGCTCACTCCCTTCTCTGTGAAAATGGACACAGTAACAACAGGCAGGGCAGCAAATGTCTTCTGAAGCCTTACCACGTGGTAGGCACTGGGGTTAGCATTTGGGGTGGAATGTGTTCTTTAAGCTGAAGTTCCTGTGAGGAAGGACAGGGGAGTAATGGGTACAGCCAGAGTAAGGTCCTGCAGTCTATCGGCTCAAGTGGGCTGAGAAAGAACACTTGTGCCATCTAGCGGTCTTTCTGAGGAACTGTCCTCTGGAGATCTAAGAATCAGCACGGATTTTCCCTAAAATTTCACCAATTGCACTCATAAAATGAAGTCAGAGCCTGGTTTTTGTGGATCCGACCTGCCCAAGCTCCCTGCTTCCCACGCCAGCAATGCAGGGCATCTCTGGGTGCGGCTCTTCTAACTATGGCACGGAGGTGCTCAAAGGCTTTGTGACTGTAAAGCACTCTGGTTTTTAAGAGCAGATGAACAGGTTTTCAAGTGTTTCCCAGCCTTGGCTGAGGAACTTATCCACAAACCTGCACTTTATTTCTGACTAGTATCTGGAATAACTCAATCTGACTCAATATCAGAGTCCCAAGGGTCCCAGGAGTTTGAAGTTCACACAGACAACACACACACACACATGCAGAAGCACAGGAGCACATGCGTGTATACATGCCCAGAAGCAAGCATATGCACACACACATGCATGCCCTCGCCCAGGGTTCACGTCCAGCTGCCCCCTTGCTGGGTCTCAAGGGGCACTGACACCTACTTGACTGCGCTGGCTCTGCAGCCTGGCTGGCTCGGCAGTTTCTCACACTGGCTTTAAAGCACGGGTCTCCTGCCTACATCTCCCCTCGAGAGGGAGGAGACAACAGAACCGTTCTTAGCTTACGTACTGACACCACTTAGGTGACAGGTATTGTCCTCAGCACGTTTCGGGAGCTTCCCCCTCCCATTCTCACCATGACACCATGAAGTGGAGCACATTCTTTTTTCCTACTTTACAGAGGACGGCACCAAGGAACAGGGAGGAAAGTCTCAAAAGATAACTTCTTACTTACTCTAGGCTGCTGAAACTTTGGCGCCTCTACCCAGCAACACCTTCTTCCTGCCTGCCAGGTGTAGAGGGTGTGGAGTCCTTGTGCTCACAAATAGGCAGGCGAGCCGGGAATGTTAAGCACAGCGCATAGGCTTGTCTCTTCAATGGAAGGGATGTGTATCCTGTTTTCCACCCAGAACCCTGGGAGTGGATGCCATTAACAGCAAGGTGCTCTGTGCTATCTGGAAGGCCAGGGCACACCTGAGTCCCCTACTGTCCCGTTCAGCCCAGACCCTTCCTCTCTAGACACTTAGCTTGAGCATTGTTTCCCAGTCAATAGAACCCATCCCTTAAGGGTAAGGTCACATCTGTGTGATTGAGACCACACCTGATGTCCCGCCAGGCCCTCAAGATGCACATGGCATTGAGATAAATGCTACCAGAAAATCTTTTTCCAAAATATTGTTGTTCTTAAGTGCCTAAAAAGTAAACTGCCCGGAACCAGACTCTAGAAGTTTGAACCAACAATGGATAACTAGGTCGTGTTGAAGCAGATTTCCTTTTGCGTCCTGCTGGCTGTAACATTTGCAGGGACCCCCACAGCCAGGAGAACTGCCTTCCAGCTCTCTCCCCTAAGCTTTGCCCCAAGCTGTCCTTTCTCCTCCAGCCCAGAGTTTTCCTGCCATAATGAAATTCTATTATGAGCATTGGTGCTGGTGTCTGTTTCCTGGTCAGATTCAGAAAGATCAGGTCTCCTGTGAGACCTCACCTGTCTCTTCAGGTGTTGCCAGCAAAGGTCCTCTCTGAATGGCCCTGGTTTGGACACCAAGACCTGCCCCCTCCTCTTTGTGGAACCATTAACAACCCGACCTACCCCCGTTGCTTCTTGCTCATTTACGTCTTGCGCTGTGAAGTGTCTACCACAGGCAGGCTAACGAACTCATCTATCATTCAGCTAGAATGATGGATTCTATAACTACATTCATTCATTCATTCTAACTCAGATCCATTCAGTTACCACTGGTGTATTTGTGCATATGTGTGTATTTGTATGTATGTGTGCATGTGTGTGTAAGTGCTGAGGGAATAAACTGTCTCTCTTCAATTTCAAGTAGACACTGTATTATTGTTACTATATGTTGAGGGTTAGATTTCCAGAGCTTATTCATGCTACAACTTAAACTTTGTTCCATTGACCAATATCTCCCTATTTTTCCTTCATCCAGCACCTGGAAAGCACCATTCTCTGCCCTTGTGAATTTGACTTTCTGGCCTAATTTCATAGTCTTTGAATGGATACCCATAAGAGGTATAGTTGGGTCATATGTTGGTTCTATTTCAATATGAGGGACAGCTTTATACTGGGTTCCATAAGACTGAAGCAATTTACTCTTCATCAGCAGCGTACAAGGATTCTCTTTTTCCAAAGCCCTCACCAACACTGTTATCTCTTCTTCTTTGTGAGTTACGAGGTGCTGCATAAAGGACATAGAAGCCTCCAGTCTGGAGATCCTAGTGGCTCAGCCCTACTCTGCCAGAGCTTGATGGGCTCTCGGACAGTCAGAGTTCTCACCTGCTTCACTGGTTTCCTATATCTTCTGAGGACAGTCAGGCTAGAAATGGCAAAGAGCCCCAACATAGAGCCAGACTGCCTGCGTTGGCATTCTGTCTCTGCTCTTACTGTGTAAGGTACCAGAAAAGTAACTAAAGCTCCAGGGCCTCAATATTCCCCCTGTAAAATGGTAATGGGAGAACTATGACAGAGTATGCTTTCATAAAAACAATACGAGCTTAAATGAACCAATGTATATGCTTTTCCTGAAAAGTTGTGGCAAATAGTGTTATTGGTCTACTGTAAACACACACAGACACACACACACACAAGAGGGAGGAGTGGAAGGGAATGAAGGAGAGAGAAAGGAAGAGGGAGAGGGATTGAGAGAAAGTTAGGTTCCTCATCACACAAAGAGCAGAGCAAAATTTCCAAACAAACAAACAACAAACTGGTAAGCATGTCACTTCCTTCAAGGTGTAATTCTACATACATACTTGTGTTTTGTCTTCTGGATCCACAAAATTGATTCAAATCGTCTTTCTTCGCTGTTAGATGAACTGATATGACACATCTTAGCCTAATGGTCAGCACACAGAGGGGCTTGATCCGAGCTTACTATGATGCCAGATTTAATAATCCTGGCAGCAATGAAAGAGGGGAACGAGAGGTTGGGGTGAAAACGGCTTCTCCATCCAGCTCTGATATCAATGTCTTTCTTAATTTCGGTCCTCAGTGAGTTTTGTGTTCTGAGATGTGTGGGGTGCTGTGAGAGGCTGGCACCTGAAAAGATGCTGCCACCACAATCAGTGCTGCAGCTGCATTTATCTTCTGGGAGTACCGACACTACAGCCCCCAAGGCACCATCCACAGGATCCCTTCACCAAAGCCCAGGGGGCAAGCGGTGCTATCTTCCAACTGAACACCAGAGGGCAACAAAGCCAGCCAGTCCCGGATCTGATGGGTTCTTCCCGCAAAGCAGAAACAACCTAGTTGGGCTCATAAGGCTCACTTCCAGCCTCTTAGCAGAAAGGAAATGAGTTATTAATTAACTAATTGTCATAATTAAATAAATTATAGAGATTGAAAAAATTACAAAGACTCAAGATATAAAGTACAAAGCAGCGGGTAAGAATCAGGCCTTTGTGCTCAGGGCCAGGTCTAGAGACCGCAGGAGACT